CTTCATAGGCCGCTTCTGCACTGTCATTTTTGTCACTCGTTTGTCCCTATTGCTTCAGGGTTCCCCACCCCAAAATGTATTTTGCTTTCTCTAGTAGTCCCAGAAGGAGCAAAATATCACAAAGAGGGCATTGGAGAGCTAGAAAAAGTACAGAAGAGGGTAACCAAGATGATTAGGGGGTTGGAGCACCTTTATTATGAGGAAAGGCTGAAGAGTCTGGGACTTTTCAGTTTAGAAAAGAGACGACTAAGGGGGGACATGACAGAGGTTTATAAAAGTATACATGGGGTAGAGAGAGCTGACAGAGAATTTTTCTCCCTCTCCCAAAATACCAGAACTCAAGGGCATCCAATGAAGCTGATGGGCACTAGATTCTGAATGGACAGAAGGAAATACTTCTTTACACAGTGAGTGATTAAAATATAGAAGAGGAAGAGAAGACGAGACTGGATTTATACGCCACCCTTCACTACTCAAAGGAGTCTCAGAGCGGCTTACAATCCCTTTCATTTTCCCTCCCCACAACAGACACCCTGTGAGGTAGATGGGGCTGAGACAGCTCTCGTGAGAACTGCCCTTGAAAGAACAGCTCTGAAAGAATTTATGACTGACCGAAGGTCACACTAGCAGCTGCATGTGGAGGACTGGGGAATCAAACCTGGTTCTCCCAGATTAGAGTCTGCGCTCTTAACCACTACACCAAATTCGCTGCCAGAGGATGTAGTGATGTCCTCAGGCACAGACCTCTTTAAAAGGAGATTAGATAGATTCATGGAGGATAGGTCTATCAGCAGCTACTAGCCATGGTAACTAAAGAAAGCCTCAACTTCCAGAGGTAGGAAACCTCTGAATCCCAGTGCCAGGAAGTAGCATTGGGGAAGGCCTCGACCTCTATGCCCTGTTGTTAGATCTTCATTTTTTTTTTAGCCCCCGGAGGGGATTTTTTATTGATTTTTTATCACTACAAAAAACTACAACAGAAAAAAGGGAGGGGGGAACTACACATACAGGAAAAGGTAAAGTACCCACTACTATCTAAAAACCGAAGAGAGGAGATCCTCCAACTAGCTTTTATACATCCAGTCTTTTCATCGTTTTTCTTTTTATGAACTGTGTCAAACTTTTAAGA